TTATTTATTTGAGAGAGAGAATGAGAGAGAGAGCACATGAGAGGGGGGAGGGTCAGAGGGAGAAGCAGACTCCCTGCTGAGCAGGAAGCCCGATGTGGGACTCGATCCCGGGACTCCAGGATCATGACCTGAGCTGAAGGCAGTCGCTCAACCAACTGAGCCACCCAGGCGCCCCTGTCCCTCTTTTTGAAACACTATCCTCTCAGTTTACAATATCTGTCACTTAGTTTCCTGCTCCTTTTCCACTTATTTCCAACTTAGTACGTAGCAAGGTAGTATTTGATGAATAAATGAATGATTCCTTATATTTCTATCACCTAACATAATTCTTAGTTCATAGTTGCTTTTCATAAAATATTTGTGAAATAATTGGATGGACATTATTATTTTAATCCTACAAATGAGGAAATGGAGTTTCAGAGAGATTAAAAACTTAACCCATTATGGATCACACAGCTATTAAGTGGCACAGTTGGTACTGATCACAATCTTATCTCATTTTTTTTTTTTTTTTAAGAGAGGGAAGAGGGAGGGGCAGAAGGAGAGGGAGAGAGAGAATCCCAAGCAGGCTCCACACTGAGCGGGGAGCCCCATCAGGGGCTGGATCTTACCACCCTGAGATCAAGACCTGAGCCCAAATCAAAAGTCAGATGCTCAGTCAACTGAGCCACCCAGGTGCCCCCAAAATCTTAACTCTTGATCTTTGTTCTCACCATTGCATCATGCCACTGCCCTGTATATTTCACCCCTAACTCCTGGAATCTGCCTTCATCTACCCTACTCTCAACCCACACTGGAATGGCTGATGTGCCTAAATATGCTTCTTATTTTTCCATCTCTCAGTCTTTTTCAGGCTTGAAACCCTATTTCCACTTCCAATTGTACATTGACCTGGAATTGTCCTACCCCAGTCTCTTAAGATACTTTTCAAATTCTATGTCAACCTTAAAATCTTAACTTTTGTACTTGCAAGTAAATTTTTTCCCACCTAAACTGCCTTTAAATACATTTATATATTTGTGTCATATTCTTTCAGTGTTGAAACCGCCCATGGGCAGGGATTGGAATCCACAAGAGTGTCTCCTGAATATTCTGGCTTGCCTTGCATGTTGAAGGGCTGAGTCGGTATCTGTTGACTTGGAATGAAGAGTTTTAAACTTGCATCTGATCTAGAGACAGAATACCCAAGGGAAGAGAGTGGACCGAAATAAATGAAAGTATATTCTGAATATATATATGTATGTATATTTAATGTTAAATTCCATCTAAAGAATCTGAGTAAGGGCCCTGATGAGTTAAGAGAATTGGGGAGAAAGTTGTTGATTTTTCTTGGTGGATTCAGACAGGCTATTTTCTTCAGTGCGTAGGGAAACAGGGAGCTGGTCTGACTGAGGTTGTGAGTGAAAGCAAAGTTTAAATTAGGAGCCCTTTGTGAGTCTCCAGCTATTGGTGCCATTTCTGAGCTGATGGGAATGGAAAGTCAGGAATAGGTGGGCTGGGAGAGTCAAAATAGGTCCTTTATCCCTTTACTTCTCCTTTCCAAACGTTTGCTTGCTGAGTGTAAGCAAAAATAACGAAAGGGAAGTCATGTGTCTATTGCCTGAAGCAAGTCCTCTACACTCTCAGATACTAAAGTGTCTGCTGAGAGGTCAACTGCGACAGATTTCTGGTACCCTTGTCGCCACAACTATCTGCCATGTTCTTTTAAGGTTCAGTTCCCAACGTGTGGAGAAATCTAGAAGTGGCCAGGTGAAGTCCAGCAACTAGGATTAATAATAAATTCAGTTCAAGTAGAACGCTTCCCATCATGTCGGTGTCTTTTGTCAGCCTACCTTTGGACCATGACCTTTGCAGTAATCCTGAGGATTCAGGGTTTCTCCCCACTTCGCAGATGAGACAAGAGGCCCGAGAGGTCAGCAGCGTTAGGGAGCTCTCCCTGCGTGCCGGACCACCTGGCTGCCTTCGAGGGTCTCAGGTGCCGGCTGCCGCACGGGGCACACTGCGCCGCACAACCACGCGCGTGCGAGCAGAATCCGAGCCACTCTTACGCTGTGCGATTTCGACAGGCAGGGAGCTGGATGTGCATAAACTTTTCAGATGAAAGCAGCGGAGGATGTCATAGACTGGCTCCCTGGCAGGTGGTTCAGGAGCTGCGGAGAGCGTGAGGCCGCCGGCAGAGAACAAAGGCGGCCGAGGGGCGGTGGCCGAGGACCGACCGCGAAATGGGCAGGGGCCCTCACAGCCCCCCGCGATACAGCCCACGGGGCCGGTGCCAGGACGCGGGAACCCCCGGGGGGAGGGGGTGGGTCCCTCGGGATTGAGGGGGAGGACAGGGACCCTTGGGAGAAGGGGGGGAGGAGGAGGAGAGTCCCTCGGTGAGGGGGTAGGGGCAGCGGGGACCCCCTGGGGGGAGGGGGAGGAG